ACATTGTCAAAAGTAATGGGTAAAACTTCAGTCGAACTGTCATTATGATAAATTCTGTTATTGACTCACCAATATATATATATATATATATATGAAGAAAATTCAAAATGTTACTCCCGTCTTGTACATTGAATAAACAACTATTCCTTACAGGAGAAGAAACGTCTTAGTTCGCTCATAATTTCTAAACTCAGTAGCCCTTTACAGCTGGAGATATTAATTACTGTAAGCACACAAGTAGGAAAATACCAAGAAAAGAGAAAATCTTAATTAAGGTTAATTAAAATAGCCAATTATGTTTTCAGCTTACATGGTATTCTTGATTAGTTTACTAAGGAAAGCTAAATATGGTTAAAAAAAAGGGTACACTTCCACGAAATTGCTTCAATATAAGTGAAAGTTAATGCTATACAACGTACAAATAATAATAACAAATAACATTGATTACCAAATTCAACAGATAATAAGATATAAAAATCAGTATAGAGTTTCGTGAATTCGCCTTGCTTTTATATTATTAACAACAATTACCTCATTTCCAGAAGGTTAAGAACCTCTACAACTAATCGAAAAATTGAGACCGATCAACATTTTAGCAGTTTCAATTCCTCAGCAGCAGTTATCAAACCCAGGGATTTTGATCTCATGTGCAAACGCTTAAACTCTAGATTACTGAGTTCGGATCTAACTGTGTTATTCTCTAACTTTAATCAATCCGCCACCATCTAAATTTGCTCTGTACTTGATTCGAGTGAAATTCAACAATCTTCACTTCCCCTTAAAGACAATCTACTGTGTAACTGGAATGAGTTTATTTCAGCAATAGCCTTTTGACTGGAAGTTAAAATATCATACCTGATACATGAACCCTGAATATCTATTTCTTACCGTTAATGAATAATGTATTCATTGACCAAGAAATGACTAGTCAAATAAATTATTGCGCAAGTCCAATTCCAAAGTCGACCAACCTAATGTACAACGGTCTCTCGAGAAATTCATCCAATTACTCAGTGAGTTCATTTTGCTGTGACATAGGTAAAAATACATATTTGACTAATTTCCAATCTGCAATATCTGATTATTCGCTTGTTGTTGCCCGTTAATATCTACACTAAACTCACTTGTTTTCCATCCATTACAGGTGTTTACTAAAAAATAATCTAGACTTCTAAACATCCACTCCTTGTTTCCGGATTTCATCCACCCTTGACTTTACAATATCCGCTAAACTAAGTGTCACACTACTTGTTATCTCATATCCTGTTTTATCATGTTTGCCTTCTGAATTCTCTTCATGTCTCTACTTCCTGTTTCATAGGTTTGTTTCTTTGTAATCTCAAATTTATTCGTTTGTTATGTTTTAATTGAGCTAATAGACTGAGAGAGAGATGCATCCCTAACGAAACATGTGCGTATAAACATTTTACGGTAAATAATTTATTTAATTTGAATACGTATCTTGATTGGATGAGATTCATTTGTGGTGTTAGAAATCGGAGATGATTTCATCTTGATGCTTCGTACTGAATCCGAAAACAAATACTATGTTGAACCAGGAGGGTTGTTTTACTCACAGCACCTAAAAACTTTTATCGACTTGAACAGACTGTGAAGATTAATGTCATGTTTTAAGAGGCGGATTATTTGGCAAAAAAATGATCAACGACAATACTGTCTTTGAAGTTGTGAGAATATAATTGTATTGTCGCTCTTTTAGGTGTTCAGCAGAATGATAAATAATGGAAGATTACAAACTGAACGATACAAAATTGTACGACTTATATAATTAATATTGAATTGAAATAGAATTCTTATTAATATTGTTTACATGAGAAAAATTATCTTCGTACAATGTTTGAAATGATGAATTACTTTCACTAGCTCATTAAAATTTACTCGGTTAGTTGATCAGTTGTGATCTAAAAGTTACAATATCAGGAAAAATGAATTAAATATACACATGTAGAAATACACCACAGAAATAATCATTCACTACAGAACTGCTGTTAAAAACAGAACAACGAAATTGTTAATAACAATGAAATATATATAAAATTGATAAATCAAGGAAATATAAAGGTTGACATGTTAACATTAAACATAACTGCAATTATCGAGGGCAACATATTCGTTTCAAGCACATATTTCTCTTTTTTTAAAAACTTAAGAATAATTTGCATGTTCGTATACTATTAATTTTGGTTGCTTCAAGTTTATTTGAAATAAAAACGTTCGTAACTTTTCATAGCTCAGAATAAGTGTAATTTTCGGCTTCAACTCAAATTAAACTTAAACGAAGTTTAGTGTGGGAATATTAGATCATCTGTTTTTGATTGCTCTGATATTTTATGTTTACATGTTTTCTGAAATGGCGAATTAATGTAAGTTCTTCGTTTTTAGGTATCTTCAAATTCCATTTAAGATGAGAACTGAAGGAAATTAAACGAATATATTTTCAATTTTACTTGGTCAATGTGTTAAAGGCTTGTATAGATTGACAGTAATTATACTCGTTGTATTAAACTATACTCGCTTATAAGGATAAATCTGGTATTTTAATGAACTCAGTTATATTCACATTAGTCCTGACTAAATATTTTAACAAGTTTGATGGCATTTATTATCTTACACAATCCATTTTCAGAGATATGAGTGACAACGGATTGTAATACATCAGTTGAACGTCATTCATATAGGTCCTGTTGTAAATGAAGTGATTTTATACTGACTTATCAATTTTATATATATTTCATTGTTATTAACAATTTCGTTGTTCTGTTTTTAACAGCAGTTCTGTAGTGAATGATTATTTCTGTGGTGTATTTCTACATGTGTATATTTAATTCATTTTTCCTGATATTGTAACTTTTAGATCACAACTGATCAACTAACCGAGTAAATTTTAATGAGCTAGTGAAAGTAATTCATCATTTCAAACATTGTACGAAGATAATTTTTCTCATGTAAACAATATTAATAAGAATTCTATTTCAATTCAATATTAATTATATAAGTCGTACAATTTTGTATCGTTCAGTTTGTAATCTTCCATTATTTATCATTCTGCTGAACACCTAAAAGAGCGACAATACAATTATATTCTCACAACTTCAAAGACAGTATTGTCGTTGATCATTTTTTTGCCAAATAATCCGCCTCTTAAAACATGACATTAATCTTCACAGTCTGTTCAAGTCGATAAAAGTTTTTAGGTGCTGTGAGTAAAACAACCCTCCTGGTTCAACATAGTATTTGTTTTCGGATTCAGTACGAAGCATCAAGATGAAATCATCTCCGATTTCTAACACCACAAATGAATCTCATCCAATCAAGATACGTATTCAAATTAAATAAATTATTTACCGTAAAATGTTTATACGCACATGTTTCGTTAGGGATGCATCTCTCTCTCAGTCTATTAGCTCAATTAAAACATAACAAACGAATAAATTTGAGGTTACAAAGAAACAAACCTATGAAACAGGAAGTAGAGACATGAAGAGAATTCAGAAGGCAAACATGATAAAACAGGATATGAGATAACAAGTAGTGTGACACTTAGTTTAGCGGATATTGTAAAGTCAAGGGTGGATGAAATCCGGAAACAAGGAGTGGATGTTTAGAAGTCTAGATTATTTTTTAGTAAACACCTGTAATGGATGGAAAACAAGTGAGTTTAGTGTAGATATTAACGGGCAACAACAAGCGAATAATCAGATATTGCAGATTGGAAATTAGTCAAATATGTATTTTTACCTATGTCACAGCAAAATGAACTCACTGAGTAATTGGATGAATTTCTCGAGAGACCGTTGTACATTAGGTTGGTCGACTTTGGAATTGGACTTGCGCAATAATTTATTTGACTAGTCATTTCTTGGTCAATGAATACATTATTCATTAACGGTAAGAAATAGATATTCAGGGTTCATGTATCAGGTATGATATTTTAACTTCCAGTCAAAAGGCTATTGCTGAAATAAACTCATTCCAGTTACACAGTAGATTGTCTTTAAGGGGAAGTGAAGATTGTTGAATTTCACTCGAATCAAGTACAGAGCAAATTTAGATGGTGGCGGATTGATTAAAGTTAGAGAATAACACAGTTAGATCCGAACTCAGTAATCTAGAGTTTAAGCGTTTGCACATGAGATCAAAATCCCTGGGTTTGATAACCGTGCGCGAGTCAGTAGATTCGTACTGCTAATTACGCTATTAGGAAGAATCCGCCGTTCAGTGCTTTCATCTTCTAAATGAAAGTCTAACTTAGATCCGTTTATCAGTTCAATGAGACATAGCATATCGCTTCCCTATCATAGTTATCCCAATACGTCTACTGGTTATTCGCTTAGACGACAGAGCGATTTAAGTTCATTCAAACCACATAGCTCATTTTCTACTCATGATGACCTGGATTTTTCTGTGAAATACAATTCTTTGCTGAATGAATCGATCCGTTAGCCTAGCCATTACTGAATAAACGTAATTTGGCAACCACACAGTGACGAATACATTGTTAATAAACTTTATAGAATATGCACAGGTCCTGTAGTTCTATCAGTAACCTAATCAAACATATACGTGAATCTGAGTAAGAAATTGAACAGTGACGATCACCTAATAGGCGTTGATAATCGCCACTCGTTTCGTAATATACTATCCAATTTGACCATGTTTATTCAGTATTTTTTCATCACAGGACACCTTACATAATCTTTCGGTTGATTATCTAGGAGCTCACGAATTGCTTTGACATGCCTCACGTAGTGACCAACTTGTAAACCTATTTATGCTTCATAATTTTATCTGACTCTATTTTCTAATTTCACTTGTGCAATTTTGTTTTTTGAGTGACGCAGGTTATTTCATTACGGTCGAGTATTTGAATTTATCCTGAACAATGTCACACTGCATCATTTTGATCAACCAATCTCATATGATGCATAAAATGATTTTCAAACTTATTGGTTAATATAACTCAAGTAAAAACCATAAACTCATAACTACAAGGTGTAATTGCTTGCAAACAATATAATTGAAAAAAACTGAATGAACACCTATATTGAACTTTACGTTTCACAATAATATACCTTTTTAAACCAATTAATTGTAAAATAATGAACAGAATAATTGCATCACAGAAAAAACAAGACTATAATACGGAGAATTCAAAATATTATTCGTGCATAAAAGAAAGTCTGATTCAACATGGAAAGTTTTATCAGCAAACACAATAGAATTCATGAGAGTTACTGACAATGAATTCCGATTCAAACTGATACTTTTCAGAAAAGTAGTCGATCAGTCAATCTTTATTTTACCCAAAGAAATAGTCTGTTACATCTGATCATGAAAACAGTCGGAATGTTGAAATATTAATTGTAAGCACACCTGTAACTGTCAGCTAAAATAAAATACTTCTGATACAAAAGAAACCATTAAACATGATGAAACAGACAAATAAGATGCAAAAACATGAGATTTTGACATAAACAAAAAACAAGTGTATCAAAGATAAAAGAAATCAAATTTATCCCAAGATCGGTAGTAGCAAGACAGTGAAAATTTGCATATCGGGTTTATTTGTTACTCTTGCCGGAACGATATGCAAAAATTCGAGTTACATGATATTAGGATGTGAAGCTGGTGGAAAATTGATAACAAGAAACAATGGAGGCACTGTGGCAGTTTCAATAAACAGTCTTGGGTATACATAACATTTTATACAAACAAAAAACAACATATTAATTATTTTCGCAGAAATACACGATTAAGCACAGCCAGAATAAGATTAACTCCCCATTTATTTTGGGTTAGACTTGAGGGTTCATGAATGGGTTTTTTTAGTTCATAGAGAATTCTCCAAATATTACTGCCACAATACTTGTGGGAACTCGTCGAGTTGAAACTCGTCCGTTTTTGTCTCACCGTTTTTGACAAACTGCAAACGAATCTTCATACGTGGACGTACCTAAATATAAAAAATCACCGTAAGTGAAGTCAGTTAGTTTCTTTTCAAACTAATTAAATGCAAAATGAGTAATAATGTGGTTTGTGCTAATGATGTCGACAGATATAAGTAGTATGTATCACCAACCGAAAGTAAAATGCTTGGAGGCAGAAGGTTAAGAAGAGAACGAGAACAAAGAATGATTGGTGTGGAAACGAAACAACAATGAAATCTGAGACAATTGATTGACATTTTGCAAATGAAGTATTTACTGCATGATTCTCAGATTTTATTAAGATATTTTGTAATTTTATATTCAAATATATTCGATTGTTCCCATTTGTGTTCCCGTTCACTACGATAGTACACTTCAATTGACAGCTAACAGCCACATGTTCGTAAGAGGAAATTAATTCAGTAGCGTATGAAAACAATTTTGAATACCATTATCCTCTACACATGTACGAACACACATATGCATCATAAGCCTTAGAATAATGAGAAACTAATCAACAGAATTATGAAGCTGGAACAGTTTCATTTAAACACGCAGCTTGATAACTGTATACAACTAAAGACTGATGGTAAATGATATAAATATTTTTTTATTAATAAAGGTTGATCCAGAGCATGATAATAAAGGAAAACAGAAAAAACCACTTTAGGAAAAAACTATAATTATATTTTTATTCGCTTGAAATCAACTACGACATTTGAGTCTGTTTAATAGAATATAGAATTGTTATTACACTACGCTTTTATAATCGGTTAATGTAAGTTAATGATATCGAATAAAACCTTCACAGAGAACGATTCGGTTACTAACATATTTAGGAGTGTTGGGTTGATGCTTAAGGTGTTCGACTTTACATCACTAAGGCCCACGTTCGAACCACTCTCAGCCTGCTTCTGTTTTGGGATCCGGGTAGTATCATCAGGCTTCACATATAGAGTGTGGTCCATACCAATTACCTGATGACTGAGTTTTTAAAAAAAGTAGTTTCACTTAACATAACAATAAAACAGAAAAGAGTATCTAAAGTGCTTCTGATGAATTAACGAACGCTGGAAAGAAAATCCACCTTATGATTATATCTAGCCAACGACGACGAATTGTAAATCAAATCAAATCGAATATGTCAAACAAATTTCTCATAATTCCAGGAATAATAATAAGTTCCAACAGATAACTTAATTTTTATTAAGAAATGACAAACACAGGGCAAAACTGATATATTCGATATGAACCAAAAACGAGAAACGAATTCTGTCACATTTCACTGAAATAGCTGGCAAACGCTAAAAAAAAGCTTGCGGAAAAACGAAAATGGATATAAAGCAACCCAGTTTACCTTCGGTGGAACGCCAAGCTTCAACACTTGTGTTAGTGGAGTAGAGTTAGGGCCACATAGAATAGAACTAGATGATGGTGGAAAAAGCTGTAACTGGCAAGATTTGGGCACAGCAGCCTGGAATTCAAAAGAATCAATTGGCTGAAGACTCGTAGTAGTTGCCACTAACTGGATAGTAATTATGTTAAAATGACCATCTAATACAGCGGAAGGCACGAAGTTGAATACAATTCTTATCTCATTCGAATTGTATATCGTGATGGAAGGAACTGACGGGACTAAATTAAGAAATTATTGTAGAAATTGAATGGAGATTACAAACTGTCAATTATTCTGCAAAAAAAATTGTAACCCACACCAAAAGTAATAATATTACACTATAAGAACGGATAAAATTAAGAAAATGAAACTATTTACTGTTGTATTCATGACACCTATCTTGACAAACTGAAATAAAACGAAGAGTAAATACGTAACAATATACAAATCTAAGGAATTACAACAGAATTAAAACAATCGATGATGCGGATGCTATATTCCTAAGTACATGAGGAAGGAAATCAATCTGAAAATTCGTATATCGGTTTTAAGCAATTTTCTTCTAGTTAACTTGGAGTGCATTTTGATTGTAACGATTAATTCACAGTGAATTTTATTCACTTATTCTTAGTTTATTTCCAATTGTATCAACTCACTCAGTATCCAGTTAGTTACCTGATTTTTCCTTTTATAGAATAATTTACTGACTGCGTATTCGGGGAACAATTGGTCAGTTTGTTAAAACTCTAAAACTAAGCGATATACGTTGCAAAATGGAATTTTAACACAATGATGTCTTGAGGATATGATTAAAGCTGAATTCGTTACTAAACTTATAGCTAAAAGTTAATAAACGAGTGATTTTTAGAAATATTGCGACTATTAAGTATATTCCTAGTACCCGTTCCCACTTAATTCCGTTGAGTACTCGATACTGAACGCAGCTAATCTTTTGCACAACTAGTGCCAATATATTCGTCGTACCAAAAATACGTAAAGTGCCCATGCCAAAACTTGTTTAGAATTTATTTTCATCCAGTTGCAGTCGCCGTGGCTGATATTGGCGTTTTGGAGTTAACAGACAGGGGAAAAGGACAATCGGGACTCTAGGCCTCTCGTTCAGGTGCATGCGTCATCTGTTGATCATATAAGTCCGCGTATCTAAATTTGGCAAACGTATTCGCGGTAATCGTATAAGATAAGGTAATAACAGGGCCAGTTCATGAAAGTACTGAATGAAAAAACTTCATAACAGAATTAAATCAATAAACACTATTACTTATTAAGTATATTTTAATTCGTTCATTTTTCTTGAAATTCAGTAAATTTCCGGAAAAAATTGATTAAGTAATGTAACTTGGCCACTCAATTCGAAGAAAGTCTTCCGCAGTTGTTTACTCACACTTTCGGGCTGCCTATCCAGCTGTTGCAAGAAATTTTCCTAGTTAGGATTTACTTCAGAAAGTAAACATGTACTTAAACCGCAAAGAGTGATTGGTTACAAACGAAATTTATATTAAAATGGATCTCATCTCAACAAAGTAAATTTAAGCCTGATAATTTATTACTGTAACTTAAAATATATCATGGAACCAAACAATGGGTAATGAGATATCATTCACACCTATCTGCAATGTCTATGGCTTCTTATCAGTGAGTGAATTATGTTTATAATATGAATGAGGAAATGAGTCATACATTAAATAAATCAACTCATAAATGTGTACACTGTTTTCTGTAATATCCTCATAATTAATGGTATTAGAATGAAATATTCAACCAGTAACGTTAATATAAAACAAAATGATAAATTATTATTATTATTATTATGGATTTATTTAATATTATATTTTGGTACAATATATAATTCTCAGCACAGGGTGTTTCAACAAGTTTCTTACACAAAAAAGGGGTTTAAAAATCTGAAAAACTGTACAACTTTTCAAATTAGAGACATGTTAAGAACGCAGGTTATTGACTAGGTTAACTCTAACAACCTGTTCGTCACAGAGTATATTTGCTAGGTAAGGTATTATAGAACTTTTATACTTTTGCTTGTGTGCATGGATTTTAATGAAATTACGTTTCGTTCTACCAGAAGATATACAAGGATAAAGATATGAATGAAGGGGATAGTTAGTATCTGATAAGATAACACCTGCCAAGAGTTTGAAAGGCTTTAAATGTCTATCCACAACCATATTAATGATGACCTCGAAAGATTCACCACACACCTTGCTAACTGACTTCAGTACTCTCCGCAATACAGCAAAGTCTATTCTCAAAAGCCCGGGAAAAAATAATAGAGAACAGTAAAGAATAAAAGGTAATATGCAAGAATTGACAAATTGTAAGAGTAAAGGAAGAATAATTCCAAGAGCATGCAATCTCTTTATGTAGTAAGTCAGACGGAAAACTTTCTTCGATAACAATAAAACGTGAGAAGACCAAGAGAGATCAGAGGAAAAGGTAACACCAAGATAATTGACCTTCGACACTGTTTATCAACGAGTCTCCGACGGCACAAGCATTATGGGATCTCAAAATGGTGTTTAGATGCCGTTCATATCTCATGCTAAAGTTAACAGCTTGACATTTAGACGGGTTAAGTATAAGACTATTACCAACAGACCAACAATCAAAACGAGACAAAAACTCATTCATTTCTATGGGATGTAAAGAGGAAGAGATAGGCATACATACAGTGAGATCATCCGCATATTTCACAAAAGTGTTTTCTGTGGAAGATAGCAGATCATGCAGAAAAAAAAGAGAAAAGAAGAGGTGAAAGAACAACTGCTTGTGGTACACCTTCATGAGACAGTAGAGACTCTGAACACTTTCCTCTAAATAAAGTGTACTGATCCCTTCCAGAGAGGTAGGAACATAGCCAGTTGGTTATCCAGCTGTCAGTGTTGACTCTGACTAACTTGTTAATTAAACGTTGTCTTGGTATAGAATCAAAAGCTGAAGTATAGTCCAGAAAAGCGCATCGAACATACTTCTTACCGTTTTCTAAGTTGAACACTATGTTGTGATGCAGAACAGCAACAGCATCTAAGGTGCTTCTTTTGCATCTGTAGGCAAACTGATATGGATCAATATGCTTTTATCGCAGGCTCAAGTGGAAGTATTAATAAATTTTCCATTGTTTCAAGGAAGGGTAAAGTTATTGCAATAGGTCTAAATTTCACATTCTTATCACCAGATACTTTCTTGGGTACATGGATTATCTTCATCTTTCTCCACATCTTCGGTATGAGATTAGATGAGAAGGATCTGTTAAAGATAGTCATGAATAGATAACATAGGACGTCAGCACATTTTTTTAAAAGGTTTGGAACACCATCAGGTCCTAAACATAGGGATGAATTAAGTGACTGGAGACACCTTCGGGTATAAATTTCAGTGAAACTAGGGACTCAGCTATTCTTTAAACCTGTGGATGAAGGGAGCATTACATCAGATGACTGACGTACAAAAGACTTATTTAAGTCACAAACATTCAGCTGGTTATCTCTCCTAATCCGTCTGTCACCTGTAATTTCTTTACAGAGATTCCACATATTTGGAGAGTTTTTGAGTAAACATAGAATTCAGACGTCTAATCTCTAGGTTTTTCAGACCATTTAGCTTACGAACTTCATTAGAGTTTTTCTCCTTGTACTACATTTTGATGACCTAGTGACGTAAGGAAGCTACAGTTACATGAATTGAAATCACCACATACAACTGAAAGTGAATCACTGAAGGAAGTAGCAGTGAAACTCAGTGAATTCACCAGCGAAAACAGATAGTGCAGATGATGTGCAGTCTGAAGTCACGTAGATATAGGTAACATAAACATATTTGTATTAATTCAGATGTTTTGGACCACATCTTGGAGTTAGACAGTCGATAAAGTCGTTTGAAAACTTCAAGCACACAAACAAAGATGGACACTAGTTTATGTTTACAAACGTAGCTACACCGCCACCACACCTCTTTTTATTGTCTGATCGATCCTGACGATAAATTTTGAAATCAGGTAGTGATACCAGGCAGTCATCCTGTAAATCATTTAACCAAGATTCTTGAATTATGATGACACCACAATTACGATACGTAGTTTGACTTAGTAGGAATTGCAGATAGTCCACTTTGTTGATTAGTGATCGGCAGTTAGAATTTAGCAGCTCGGGAATCGACATACGATTAATGTTCATTCTCTTTAAAGCATATTGCCAACCACCACGATGTCTTTTATAGTACTTTTTTGTAACTTGTACAGCGAAAGGTCGTAGGCTTTTCATAAACGCGCCTGTATAGGTTATGCGATTAATGGACATAATGAGACGTTAAAACAAGTGAAAAAAACAGATAACTTGTTGAAATAATGAGATAGCAGAAACAGGTAGCTCAGATATTCAACCAGGCCGCCGTAAACCCTGTACTGAGAATTCTATATTGTACCAAAATATAATATTGAATAAAGCCATTAATAATAATAACATATCGGCTTTTTGAAACTTTACACTTCCTAAACTTATTACTTATTAATGCACATTTAATTTTCCATAAAATTGCGATCTTAAAAACTAAAGTTTTATTAGCCATATCATCTTTTGTAATTGTTACGGAATAATGGGGTCTTTCTATTTCTGATTCAGGATTAAATATTCAGAGCTACCTACTATTTTGATGCAATACGGAACATAAAAGTAGAGGTGGCTGTCTATTATACGCACTGAATTGTCGAACTAGTAAAGTTGAAGTGTTCCCAACACTAATAAAATCAGTTTGGTTCTCGGTAAACCTCACGAGCCATAGTACACTTATGGGTTGTTTATATAGAGATCTAGACACTCTGATTACTGCGAACAATCTCATTCCTAGTGCATTTGCACATGCTTCTGTTTAGAATTTTGCTGTGAAAGTCATTAGAGGAGACACCAAATACTGAGATATAATTTGGACTATTGGTATAGGTTAGTCCAGTGATGAAGAATTCGTAAATACACTAGACATAAACTATTGGTCACATCTCAACAAGATGTGATAACACCCTCAACCTAGTTTTCCGTCGAGATAAGTCACTATCTGTACAAGTAGATTCGAAATTAAAAGCAGTAAACATAAAATGATTGTCGATTCTCCTTTAATTATTATCAACCCTGAAAATACCCTTCCCTTACAAAAAACTACCTACTATCGGGACCAAAAATGTGAAGAGTGGGACTTCCTGGAAACCCTGTTAAGGTGTTCAGAATGGAGTAAATTCTCCAGTAATAACGGCGTAGATGGACTGGAAAATTTAGTCAAATCACTAGTTCGTGCCTAAATTCCATTCCACCTTTGAAAAATACAAGACTAGTAGGCCTAATGGAATATTCATACCAGTTAACTATCGTAATAAATTAAGATGCCCGCAGAAGCATTAACTTAGGTCGAATGATTTTTGTGTAGTTGAACAAAGAAGTATAATTTTTAATCAAACTACAAAACTCAGAAGTTAAAAGTTATTAATTTATGAGTTACCAGCACATGATAGCAACTCAGAAGTATAAAAACTTAATTTTTCGTTTCAATAAATGCATTAGATAATCGCAAAATCGAGATAATCCCTGATTCTTGGACAACTGCAAGACTAAGAGTTGCGAAATACTGGGCCGAAATGAAGATTTACTGAAGATCATACTGAAATGTGGAGATAATAAGATGTTACTCAAAGATAACAAGCATCTCCAAAAATGTAGCTCTTTAAAGGATGAAAGGAAGATGTTGGTAATATCTTACGTCGAACATAATATACATTTCGGCTTTCGGGTTTCCGGAGCAGACAAAAATGTCTAAAAATCGGCGACCTAGAATTTCAAAACCAGATATTCGAAAAATAAACTGGAGAAGTTTCCCCTTAAGCTCTGCAGGTGGAAGGAGCAACCGTAGTAATCAATTTTTTAAACCTACCAAAAAATTTCCTACCAGGATATAGGTAGGTAGGATAATTAATGGTCATTGACAATTATGAAACAAAAGAAAAAAATAGGTTAACTGACCTTGATTTGTCAAACCTGGACCAGAATCATTGACAAAGTTGAAATCCAAGACAGAAGGCTGAGGAGCAGGCTGAATAATAGAGGCACCAAAACCATTTTTAGTGCCAAATAAATCACTTGAAAATCCTGTTGCATTTTGAGTATTGCTAGACACTGTCATTTCAGATGGAGCAAATACATCAAGAAGATCTAGTAAATTAGTCCCAGTATCAGAATGATTCGTGGTTGCGTTTTGAGCTATTACAATAAAAGATGAACGAAGCACAAGTAGGTCATCAAAAGGAGTGAAATTCTATTTGTTCATCCTGAGATTCTGTTTTATGCCTGAACTATGAAATTAAAACTTGATGCAGAAATGATAATCCAACAAGTTTCCAAAGAAGAAAGAGTAGACTGACATAAAAAATGGAAAATAATAGATTCATAGAACTTTGGCTCAATAACGAGCACATAAGTAGCGGATAATGATCAAATTTATTTATGAGATAAATAGATTTAAACATACACTTGAGAAGTAATTTTCACTGAAAATATCACTTATAGGAAATAAAATATAGTGCTTACTCATGTGAGAATCCGATTCGCTTTCTGGACCCAATAAATCGAAAATGGTAAGCGACTGAGACTGATTAGTTGAGCCATTAACTGACAGAGTTTTTGCAGCTCCTATGTTACCTTCTTCAGTTTCGACACCATCACCTTCATTAATTCCACGACTCAAGTTATCTGGATTCGAAGTTCCAGACAAAGCATTTGTTGGTAGTACTGGCATACAATCAAGCAAACCACTACGAATACTTATAGGTTGCGAGCAAATTTTGCTGTATTCAACAGAACGCTGTTGCAGCTCCAGATTCACATTAGTCGAATAAAACTTAATGAGCTCTTTTAGTTTTCTGTCACGACAAAGTATTATGAAATGAACAGTAAAGAAAAATTATAGCGACTATTACAATATAAAGAAATTATAAGATAAAGGCAAACATTTAAAACAAAAGTGACATATCAGTAGTGAAATCCTCCTGAAGCGCTTTTGACCTTAATGTCAGTGCCAAGCCCACACAGAAGACGAATCTTTAAAGAGGTAAGGAAACCCGTAGTGTCAGTCATTACATCGAGCCCATACAGCGTATTCTAGCTTCCGAGCACACAGACTTGAATATAAAACTAAGGCTACACTTTGATGTTGTAATTTATTCGCTCGTCCGTTGTAACAACTAGAGCAACAATTAATATAGATACATGGAATGACTGGACAATGTGGGAGACCGAGAGGACCAGTCAAATGGCAACGGAAATGAGGGGATACAACTTGGCGGTTCTTGGAATAAGTAAAACCCATTGAACCCAAGCTGGACAGAAAAGGATAAATTCGAGAGAGATGCTGTTTTACTCGAGTCACAAAGAAGAAAGTGCTCCACAAACTTAGTGAGTTGCTCTGATGCTGTCCAAAGAAGCACTAAATGTACTTATAGGATGGGAATCTCATGGATCCAGAATCATCAAAACATCAATCGAAGCAAAGAAGAAGGGAATCACAATGAATGTTATCCAATATTATTCACCTACCAATCCTAACAATGAAGACGACAAAGATCAGTTTTACGAGAGGCTGCAACCGATCATAGCAAGGTGCTCAAGAAAGGACCTGACTATCCTTATGGGAGACCTAAACCTCAAAGTCGGAACGGACAACGCCGGGTATGAAGGTATTGTGAGACGAAATAGATTGGGAGAAAGGAACGAGATTGGTGACAGATTTGCAAACTTATATGTATTTAACGAAATCGTTATAGACGGCACAATATTCCTTCACAAACGCATACACAAAGCTACATGGGTCCCACAGGATTACACTACAGAAAAACAGACCAATCATATCTGTATCACTACAAAATTCAGAAGGTCAGCGAAAGATGCGAGAATCAGGAGAGGAGCTGACATGACTTCAGATCACCACCAACTGGTGGTTGCCAAGATGAAACTGAAGCTAAAGAAGTAATGAACAACTGGGGAAACAACATTACAAAGGTTCGAAACAGCCTTCCTTCCAGATACTGACAAACCCAACGAATTCAAGATATCTCTCAACAACAGGTTCCAAGCCTTACAAGATCTACTGGGAGAAGAGGAAACTACTATGGAAAACAATTGGAAAGGGATCAGAGAAGTACTAACTTCAACGTGTCGGGAGGTTCTGGGTCTCAAGAAGCATCATCGCAAGGAATAGATCTCTGTGGAAATCCTGAACAAGACTCAAGAAAGGAAAAATAAGAAGATAGCACTTAACAACAGCCGAACAAGAACAGAGAAAATCAAGACACAAACTGAATACACTACAGCAAACAAACAAGTAAAGACGAGCGTTAGAGCTGAAAAGCAGAAATACGTGGAAGACCTAGCAACGACTGTGAGAAAAGCTGATAAAGAAGGAAATATAAAACAACTATATGACACAACGATGAGGCTGACAGGGAAATATAGTAAACCAGAGAAGTTGGTCAAGGCCAAAGAAGGCAAGCCCGTCGCTGAAACTCAAGGAGAGAGGAACAGGTGGGTAGAGCACTTTTAAGAACCCTTGAATAGGCCTGCCCCACTGAACCAATCGGACACCGGAGCTGTACACATAGACCTATTTATAGATGTCACTCCACCACCTATCGAAGAAATCAGGATGTCCATCAGACAAATGAGGAGTGGGAAAGCAGGAGGACCTGACAACATACCAGCCAAAGCACTGACTGCAAACATGCTCCACGTTCTATTTAGGAGGATTTGGGAGGAAGAACAAGTGCCACTGACAAACTGGAAAGAAGGACACCTAATCAAGATATCAAATAAAGTAAATCTGAGCAAGTGTGAGAACTACAGGGGTAATTGACTACTCTGAGTTCCAGGAAAAGTTTTCAACAAAGTGTTGCTGAATCGGATGAACGATTCAGTAGACGTGCGACTTCGAGATCAACAGACCGGATTCCGTAAGGATAGGTTGTGCACAGACCAAATCGCTACACTACGGATCATTGTTGAGCAATCAATTGAATGGAACTTGTCACTATACATCAACTTCCCTGACTATGAGAAAGCGTTTGACAGGAAAATCTTATGGAACCCTCTTCGATACCATAGTGTATCTGAGAAAATCGTCAACATAATCCGGAATTCATACAACAGACTACACTGCAAAGTTGTGCATGTAGGACAGCTAGCTGACAGATGCATTCCAAATGAGAACCGGAGTCAGGCAAGGCTGCTTACACTCCACCTTTCCCTTCCTTCTGGTGGTTGACTGGATTATGAAGACCTCGACATCTGAGGGAAAGCACAGAATACAATAGACAACTCAGAATAAATTAGATGATTTGGACTCCGCCGATGAAGAATATATTTCCCTCTTCCGAATTCGGACTGCTTTCTCTAGGTAGCTGGGTTGGGACGCGTCGGAATAGCTATCTAATCTGTCATTGTGTCACAGAGTCTTCGTACCGTTTTTCAGATTAACTGAACTCGTAATTTCTCCAAACGTAGCACTAGTACTTATAAACAATAGTCTACCTAAGGTACTCAATGTCCGTTGACCGGATAACATCAGCAACAGCCTACTGCGGGAGACAATAAACCAGCTCCCAGATGAGGAGGAAATTAGGGAAAGTTGGAAGTTGATAGGACATACATTGCGGAAATCACAAAACTACATCACGAGGCAAGCACCAACTTTGAAATACTGAAGGTAAACGGAAAAGAGAACAGTCAAGAAACACGCAGCATCCAGATTTGGAAGCAGATATTAAAAGGATGAATAGCGACTGCGAAGGATTGCACAGAACAGAGTTGGATGGATAATGCTGGTGGTTGGCCCATGCTGCTCCACGAGGGGTAGCAGGCGTAAGGAAGTAAATATGAAATAATCTTACTGAAAACTTACTCTAAATGTGTTGGAGTAAAACGGGTGGTTAGTTTAACAAGTGTGTTTACAACCATTTGTTTTGTTTGCACTGTCGATGTCACACTAACTAGAGCACGCTGTAACACAGCAATCAATTCTAATTCAGTAACTGGGTTCGGAATATCTTCAGAAGGTTCTGGCGAAACCAACAAATCACCATATTCCCCGATTGTCCAACACGCTACCTATAAAAGAATTTTTAGTATTTGGTGAGAAACGATAATTTTACTGAATTATGGCATGCATATTCAACTAGAATTAAAAATTCCGCGATAAAAATATAGAACCTGCTTTGTGGAATGATAACAATCAACACGACCAAGAAAGAATTAGAAACAAAATTACAATCGCGTAATCAAAGCGACAAACCCACCAAACTGACATATCTCAATGTAAAGTCACTAAAAACTGGTAAAACTTTTCTAAGTTCGAAAAAAATTAATTTTATGTACATTCAAAAATGATAGGTTTTCGGTTGTTTTATAAAAATCAAGATCCTCATTTAGTCAAATGTTTGCTATATGGAGTAAGTTCATCATCTAATACAAAAACCAGTTATTGCAACTGAGGCACAAAAGATTTATATCCATATACTACCTTCTACATATCAAAAAAACCTGAAAAGCAGAAATAGATTAGGTTTCACTTGATTGAGCTATTCCCGCCTTAAACAGATAGGTCGAAAAACAGTTCCCTTGTAGCTATGAGGATAGAAATCTATGATTTTACTATCTAATTTACTCAGCTGATTAAAAGTATAGCGCTTTTTATCTACATAGCGAGAAATAATGGAAAACTTCAAGTATGTCAAAGAACCACATAAAATATATAAATTACAGTTACCAAGCAGCATCAATGGGCTTTAGGAGGACAAAATAAGTTGAACATTACTATACTTTTAACAACCAAGTGTAAATAAACTACTACTATTTTTATCTGCAGTGAAAACAATGTGAAAGTTCCTGGGTTCGAATTCCCTAATACAAAAATCGTGCGCTAATACATATTTTTACAACATACGCCATTATGACAAATTTCATTCAGATAGAACTACAATTCAGAAAAGTTACATTAAAAATTAACCTTAGGAAACTAATGAAAACTAATTTTCATTAAGAAAGAATACTGAACTTAAATTGCTTGTTCTGCTTCACTGTCAACTCAAACGTTAATTGCTTTTCTTTAATTTAGACAAACTTATTTCGCTATTCGATTTCGTAGTTTCGATTCTGTATTAATTTGCATTTCATTCAGCAGCTCGTCTGTCGAAAGTACTGACGGTTCCTAACAGCCCCTCGGGGCACGCTGGTTTACTGTGGTGGGACGCAAGTTTGACGTTACACATTGATTCGTGAAACAGATTTCGCAATGTAAGCACAGAGAAACTTAGATTCCCGAGCATGCTACGAGTTTCGAACAGCTATTTCATATCATTTCAGACACAAACACGAGGTCTAGTATCAGTAAAATAATCAGTGAAGCTAAGAACATCCCAAACAGTAACATCAAATGGCATTTCTGTGATAAATAACGATTATTTGGACGGACAGTTCAGCTAAGATGCTGTCCCAGCAACATCGATCGGACTGTTCTATTATCCATAGTCGATGAAAAGTGATACACATACACACAACAAGGTTACAAGCAACTCCAACGTCTGAAACACCAGACTCAGACGACTTACTAATAACTCCGTTTAAGGATGGTGGCTACCATCTGACCACCGAACTGACTGCGTTGTTCGCAAGGGTTAAGGAAACAGTGTTCCAACATCCGGGAATAAAGAGGAGGTTGCCCTCAGCTTTAGAAGCTCCGTAGGTCTTTCATGTAACAGCTACCAAAGGATAAGTTAAATGCCGGCGGCGTCCAAACTATCGTTCACTTCAGGACATGGTACCAAAGTATGCAAAAAAACTGTACGGGACTGGGACATTTCAGTTCCTTACTGCTCCCTGGTTAGGATTCTAAGGATTATACAACTTAGTGGCTTGAGACATTACCAAATGTGAGTGGAAACAGAAGCCAATGGAGATCCTGCAGTAGCTTTCTTTTACATTCTTCATATAGAAAATTGAGAGGACGTGGCTTAACTGAGAGATGTGTTGCTGGTTGTATTTTTAACTGAACTATATATTCTATCATATACTATTCTCGGCCACTCATTATTATTAATATTATTATCCCTAATCATTTGTTTATTTTTGATTGTACTTCCTCTACTTCACCTACCTCTTGACAATTCCATTTCACTATTGTTTAGCGCATATTTTGTTGCCCAGCTGTGCCAGTACTTATGTATATTATATAAATAATGCTCCTGATACATGAATGGCATTGGTAGATGTATAGACACTTCAATTATATCTCTGAATACTGAGAACCTAGGATAAAGATACAGTACTGACACCCGGAATCCAAATTTAACAATATTTCGTGGTTTTAATTAATCAGAAAAAACTGAACGGTAATATGGAAGGGAATTACAATATACCTGAACCAAAGGTTGTTGAGACATGGCTCCATTCATAGCACTGAATAGCTGAACGGTAGCGTACGCATGTAGACTAGGATTTTGAGAAATCAGGCTAACCAGAGATGAGACGACATCATCCCGAGCATAGTTTCCAGCCTATCAAAATAATAACATACAATTGGAAAATGCAAATGATAATAGCTAAAAGAAAAGTTCTAGAAGTACCTTTTAGATTTCTGAAAAGAATTCTTGCAGAAACCGAATAGAGTTCGATTAGTGCAAGTTAATTATCAACAACATTTAAACTTGCCACGGTAAATGTAGCACCGTTTCTAAAGCATTCTCCCATACGTACATTCAAACCACCTAATCTGAACTACATACAAAAACATAACTCGGAAAAATTAAAGACAATATGTCCAAGCATTAATATACAGGGCTCAACTGATCCGATCCAACAGCAAAAATTTACAAAACCTATTTGCAAACGACATATTTTACAAAATTCCTATCTACCTTTCCAATAATATAAACTTCCCTTACTGATAGTTTTGCAAAATACTTAAGCGAAGAAATCAACAACGGAACAATATGGCATAAAAAAAGGTTTATAATCTTGTAGTTTTTATAGAATAAAACCAACTGAATTAAACAGCTTATGAATATCCTAAACGATAAATTCTAATAAAACAACGACATATGACAATCATAAGAAAAAATTAGGCTTTTTAATCCAGAGAACATAAAAAGTAACCAGAGCAACGAGGGGTATCACGATACCATGAATGGTCTTTTGAAACAACTCGTGAGAGTTTGAATATAATTTATATATGTACAAATTATTTGGAGAATTTCAAAACAAAATAAAAACCTACGGTGGTTAACAATTTCATCATGGTGTCTACATGCCACCTTTTATTTGGAGCATATTTCTCGGCTGCTATTGAGATATTTGAACAAACATCTCCTTTGAATTCATTATCACAACTTTGTAAATAAAGTAGAAGTTCCTTGGCCATTGAACAAACATTCGTATGATTTGTTAATGCAAAGCATAAATCGATAGCACGCCTGTAAAATCAAAGAAATCTTCAGTTTAATTACACAAAGCTGATGTTTGATTATCTAATTTACATGTTGAAACATGATGGTAATTTTACTAGAATACTGAACACTATATATATTTATTACAGTTGAACACAGAAAACTAAACATGATTAAGTAAACATTGATTACCAATAGACAATTCGGATAAACTTTGAACGGGGAAGGAGATTCACCTATCACTTATGAACTTATAATATCGAAGTGTAGAGAACCAAAACCACAAAATTGGATAGTTACTTTTTATTGAAACACACGGTGAAACCATTTTTTTAAAAATTGAATGACTTGAATCATACTCAGCTTTTATATTTACAAAAACCGACTAACCTTTGTATCGAAACATCAGGATCCTTCAAACAGTCCAATATTGTCAATCTGTGTCTCTGTACAGCTTTAGAATCAGCATGCACAACTCTCAACAAAGTATTGAGAGCGACGTAGCGAATGTCTTTGTCAGTATTTAGTAGAAACCGACCCAAAATATTTATGGCAAGAACCTTTAGAAGAATTAGAATATAAATGGATAACAGAACGCTCATTTTAGAATAATTTCCATAGCTGTTAAAAGGCATCAAACACTAGTATGCTTCCTAAAGATTAGTTTAATTTCACTCATTACTTCGCTTCGAGCCACATTCTAAGTATAAGAGGTAGTGATACTACCAAACCAGTTCCCGAATCGAAGTACATGGAATGGGGTTTGAACATATTATTTAGTGGTTTAAAGTCGAATGTCTTACTAGAAGCTAGGAAATTGTTAGTTAAACCTCGATGGACGAGTAATAGTTAGCACTAAAAGTTATTTTATATCTGAATAACTTGTAATCCGTATTTATGAACCCTAACAAGCTTCTCTGTAAAATAAATTCAGAAGCAACAAACGACTAAATTTCTCTACATGACCATGAATAATTACTATATTAGAAACAAAGTAGTAATTTCTCGGGTACACAATGATCTCAGAATGGTAACAAAAAAGTGAAAAATGGTGCGAAGCATGTTCTCGAAGTAAGACGTACGAATATTTATCTGAATGTTAACAAAGCAAATCTAACTTGAATGACTAGGATCCCAGATCATAGTTTCGTCTGTTTGATGATATGTTATTAACCATCTATCTAATGTTACTATTCATCTTAATATCTAATTCTGAAGCAATATATAAAAGAGAACAAACTATTAAGTATACTAAACTGTTCAATGATAATGTTTATTACGAAAAGATAGCAAATAACATCCTCGATCTAACCGAGTAAAACATCCACATAACAAACGTACTCGCAATCCTGGATCTGATTCTATTCCCATTATTGTTAACACGATTTCATAGAGAATCGCATGACCAACATTTTTACTCGTCTCAGTATTTGTAGCAACCTATAAATTTCGAAAGTGATCATGTCAAAGTTAACAAACAAATAAAATAGAAACACTTCAAGAAAACCGAGGTTTTAATAGTGTTTGAAAAATGGCAAAAGAAGTACACTGATGACTCTATAAACCTGTGCTCATCAGGATCGTTGATCTTGCTTAGATGATCAACATTCATATTGAAGTATGTGTGCTGAGAGAAAAGGGAAAATAGTGGAGTTTAACGACTTGAAACTAATCCATAAATCCGTTGAATATAGGAATGTTGAATTAATATTTAGCTAATACAAGAAATGATCAGAAAATTCCAGTAAAATAGTTCGAAATCAACAATTATGAAGCAAGTGAGTTGGCTAATCGGCTATAAAAATCATCATTTCGTAAGCTTACTTATTATATATTTCCTGATTCATGTATGATTTTTCACTGAAATTCTCACTCAGTGTTAATATGATTCAGTTGTTAATGTGAATAACTTCAGAAAAAAGGTGGATCATAAGTTAGAACTATATAATCGAGTATCATATGTAGGTTCCAAACAATCAGTGCAGTTTGAGAGCGTATACACAAACTTGGAATTAGTTATTACTCTGGTTGCAATTTATATGTTACTATTTTAAAGTGAAACACAATCAAATAAAAGCACTACTGTGATTGTTCATCATTTCAATCAAACTGTTTATTAAAAATGTTCATATATGCAACTCCTTTAAACAAGTAGATGAAATAAAATGAAAAAGCATAAGACAGTATGAGTTACAGCTAACGTCGGAAGGGATGCAGATATCTACCTGCATACACAAAAAGGTAATGCAATTCTAATTAATTGGAACTTAAATTATAGTTCCACATGTTTTCTATACGTTATTGATAACTTTTTGCAACGATTAAGACATACAATTAGATTATGTCAAATTACATTTTATGAAAAAATCAATGATCATGTCGATAATTCAGAGTAATACTTAGACACAAGAATGAAAGATAGGAATAAAGACGTCTTTGATAGTGATAACAACAATGTTGGGTACTGTAAAGATTTATATTCTAAAATTACTTGAGCTAGAATATCATTCATTGCTTCACTGGCAGCTTTATCACCATGACCTAGAACACGCATGAGCCTCAGTATTTTCACCTACAAAGGAAAAAGTGAATAAAGACATCAAAAAGTACTAAAAGACGATAAATCGCTCACCAGTATAGCACAAAATAGATTATTGCAATATAAGGGTTTTTAAAATAATGAGATTTCATTTAAAGTATTTCAGAATGTTAACTATTTTTCTTAAAAATCAGACAAATGGTACACAGAATACGAAACAGATAACAATATCGCAAAACACAACTATTGTGTTATTTCACTCCTTAACTAATCAGTTCACAGTAAACAACAACAAAGCAGCTGAATACTAGATTCTTATTAAATTTAAAGATATCTAATAGTTTAACTATAAATAAATATCCGAAGATAAGCAAATAATCTTCCTTACGCACACATATCTAGATGTGAATGACGGTTAATCCAACAAAGCAACCATACGGAAAGGCATAAACAGCTACGAATTTTCGTATGTCAACCTTACATTACTAAAATGAAAGTGTTAAGCACAACGAATTATGCAAATTCGGGTGGTTTTAAATAATGGTAAATTTCAAAAAAACTTTATATCTCAATAAAGAATATAGTGCAATGATCATCAAACAAGTAACCTTAACAGGATTTTAATCTAAAAAAACTGAAACTCAAAAATTATAATTTGATACCAGATATAATAGTCAAAAATTTGTTTGTTACAATGACGACAAACCTGCAGAAATGGGTCACTTATTTTATTAACGTCGTGATCAGGGGAATAACCCGTCATAATGAGATTCTTCAAAGTACGTACTAGTGTTGGAACTAATTGCTAAAGGATAAAGAGAATTAAATGAATATGTATTACACTAATGAAACAAAAGCAATATGGACTTGAATATAAATTGCTAGAATCCAAGTGAAACAATATAATTATAGTGAGCGACCAAAACACTAAAACAACAAAATTAGACTTGGTCACATTTTTTATATTTATGGATAGAGGTTTTATCTACATTTACATATTTAATTTAGAACAACACATATAAGCGAACAATTGTTTTCAATTAGATCGTCATCAGGCTTTACTCTAATATACATGAATATTTATACGAAAATGTAAACCAATCAAGGCCATATGGGTCAATAATCACAATGAAATAGAATAAGTCTCTACACATAATAGGTAAAAATACAAATTGATAGTAGGAAGACAGATGTACTGGCAGTGGTAAGAATAATAAAACACGATACTAGCAGAGCAAAAAAGATCTGTACAGCAGATACTCTAAGTCAGGAGCTTGAATTTATCAACAACTCACTAACCGAGATCGGCTACCCCAGTGCTTTCATTAAGAAGTACATGTATGACATAATAAAGAAGTCGGAGATTTCGACTGTTCGTAAGAAACCTTTATACATGGAAGTACAATTCAACGGGGATGTGGCTAGTGATACTCTGAAATATAGGTTAACTAAAGTAATCACCAGGACATTCTACGCAGCCAATCTTGCGTTGACCTTCTCTTGTCCACCAGCGATGTCTACTCAAATGAAGGATAAGTTACCTGAGTTGGCCTCTTCAATGTGCATTTACAAATTCAGCTGCTCCTGTGCAGATAGCTATATCGGGCGTACTACCATCCAACTTAGCCAACGAATGAGTGAACATCTACCAACTTGGTATATAAAGGGCCAGATAAAGTCTATTCACAGTTCTATCTTGGCACATCTCATTGATAGCGGTCATGCTGTAGATGAATCGAAATCATTTCCAGTTATCTATCGTATACCTCCATTATTTCCCAACGGAGTTCGTTCCCGCCTCCTACATATAGCTGAAGCCAATTTGTGTGTACAGAAGAAATTCGTAACCCCCTATCCCTTCCATAGTCAGTTATAACTTAACTAACGATTTTTTAAAGATTTCTATTATTGTCATGATTTATTTATTTTATTCTATTTTTGTTATCGTTAACCTTATTTTCACATCCATTATTTGTTTGTAACTTTCCGCCTCTTTCTGTTTGTATTCTTCACTATCTAATTATTTACACACTTCTTATTACGTAGTGATCTTAATGTTTCTTGATTACTATTCCTAGTCTATTTACCCATGTTTGACCTTCTATGTCCAACGTTTAACTATTGGTAAGACTTTTGTCATCGTATTTTATTATTCTCACCACTGTCAGTACATCTGTCTTCCTACTATCGATTTCGATAGAACAATGAGAAGACGGAGTTGATCTGAAAAATGTGATGTATTAGCGCTATACATTTCGAACAATCTGGTCACACATATACTTGTCAGGGCATTTTTATATGAAAATTAATAAAGGTCAAACTTTTATTTGTAAAAATGTACAATCAACAGAGATATCTGTGAAATTCATGTGTTAAAACTGTATTACTTATTAGTAATTAGTTTCCTGTGATAAAAGTTTGTAATGATTATGAATCACAATGATCCGAAAACAAAGTGTTCTATTATATTCACTTGGTGTTGTTTTACTTGTATCTTCCCATTGTTATTTAGGACTGCAATTGATAAGTCTCATGATGGCATATGTGCATCCTGTGCGGATTGCCTCGATATATCTTTAGGTCACAAGCTTTTTAAGCAACGAAGGATAATGGCTAGCAGTGGAATCCTATTTGGGTTCGAGTCCCGGAGTAAACATCGACTCTGGAATGCAGGTACATCCAGCTGGCGAGTCCCAAGTACGACGAAACGCGCGTCCTAGATTCCACTGCTAGCCACTATACATCTTTGCTTAAAACGCTTGAGACTTAAGGCTATATCGAAGCAATCCGCACAGGATGCACATATGCCAACATGAGACTGATCTATTGCAGTCCTAAACATCAATGGGAAGATTCAAAAAAAATAATACCAAGTGAATTGAAACTTCACCCCATTTCATAAGCAGGTGGCTATCAGGACTCGGTAGTTAAGTGGATGACGAGATGGCGTCTGAAGCGAACGGTACTGGGTTGGAGTCTTAGAACGAACATCAAATCTGTGATTCAGGCACATCCGGCTGACGAGTTCCAAACAGGACGAAACGAGGGTTCCGCTGCTAGCCACTATCTATCTTTGCTTAAAAAGTGTTCTATTGTTTGTAACAGTTTTTATCAATTCGCGCAAATTGAAGCAACTATTATTGTGCATGTTAGCGAAGCGTAAAAACTACTATTGTTGAGTTCAACATGTTGAATGTGAGTTTTACCCCTAGCAAATTATCGTTTACTGTAGAACATTTGATTATATATATACCTACTCCCGACAACTCGTGTGGAAGCATAGACCTACCACAAATGTTCTCTATTAAACACTCTTCTGGATAATCCTTCCCAATCGTAATTCATCCTTTTCATACCTGTTTCCAATTCTCGAGGCCTGACTCCGGTTCTCATTTGGAATGCATCTGTCAGCTAGCTGTCCTACATGCACGACTTTGCAGTGTAGTCTGTTGTATGAATTCCGGATTATGTTGACGATTTTCTCAGATACACTATGGTATCGAAGAGGGTTCCATAAGATTTTCCTGTCAAACGCTTTCTCATAGTCAGGGAAGTTGATGTATAGTGACAAGTTCCATTCAATTGATTGCTCAACAATGATCCGTAGTGTAGCGATTTGGTCTGTGCACAACCTATCCTTACGGAATCCGGTCTGTTGATCTCGAAGTCGCACGTCTACTGAATCGTTCATCCGATTCAGCAACACTTTGTTGAAAACTTTTCCTGGAACTCAGAGTAGTCAATTACCCCTGTAGTTCTCACACTTGCTCAGATTTACTTTATTTGATATCTTGATTAGGTGTCCTTCTTTCCAGTTTGTCAGTGGCACTTGTTCTTCCTCCCAAATCCTCCTAAATAGAACGTGGAGCATGTTTGCAGTCAGTGCTTTGGCTGGTATGTTGTCAGGTCCTCCTGCTTTCCCACTCCTCATTTGTCTGATGGACATCCTGATTTCTTCGATAGGTGGTGGAGTGACATCTATAAATAGGTCTATGTGTACAGCTCCGGTGTCCGATTGGTTCAGTGGGGCAGGTCTATTCAAGGGTTCTTAAAAGTGCTCTACCCACCTGTTCCTCTCTCCTTGAGTTTCAGCGACGGGCTTGCCTTCTTTGGCCTTGACCAACTTCTCTGGTTTACTATATTTCCCTGTCAGCCTCATCGTTGTGTCATATAGTTGTTTTATATTTCCTTCTTTATCAGCTTTTCTCACAGTCGTTGCTAGGTCTTCCACGTATTTCTGCTTTTCAGCTCTAACGCTCGTCTTTACTTGTTTGTTTGCTGTAGTGTATTCAGTTTGTGTCTTGATTTTCTCTGTTCTTGTTCGGCTGTTGTTAAGTGCTATCTTCTTATTTTTCCTTTCTTGAGTCTTGTTCAGGATTTCCACAGAGATCTATTCCTTGCGATGATGCTTCTTGAGACCCAGAACCTCCCGACACGTTGAAGTTAGTACTTCTCTGATCCCTTTCCAATTGTTTTCCATAGTAGTTTCCTCTTCTCCCAGTAGATCTTGTAAGGCTTGGAACCTGTTGTTGAGAGATATCTTGAATTCGTTGGGTTTGTCAGTATCTGGAAGGAAGGCTGTTTCGAACCTTTGTAATGTTGTTTCCCCAGTTGTTCATTACTTCTTTAGCTTCAGTTTCATCTTGGCAACCACCAGTTGGTGGTGATCTGAAGTCATGTCAGCTCCTCTCCTGATTCTCGCATCTTTCGCTGACCTTCTGAATTTTGTAGTGATACAGATATGATTGGTCTGTTTTTCTGTAGTGTAATCCTGTGGGACCCATGTAGCTTTGTGTATGCGTTTGTGAAGGAATATTGTGCCGTCTATAACGATTTCGTTAAATACATATAAGTTTGCAAATCTGTCACCAATCTCGTTCCTTTCTCCCAATCTATTTCGTCTCACAATACCTTCATACCCGGCGTTGTCCGTTCCGACTTTGAGGTTTAGGTCTCCCATAAGGATAGTCAGGTCCTTTCTTGAGCACCTTGCTATGATCGGTTGCAGCCTCTCGTAAAACTGATCTTTGTCGTCTTCATTGTTAGGATTGGTAGGTGAATAATATTGGATAACATTCATTGTGATTCCCTTCTTCTTTGCTTCGATTGATGTTTTGATGATTCTGGATCCATGAGATTCCCATCCTATAAGTACATTTAGTGCTTCTTTGGACAGCATCAAAGCAACTCACTAAGTTTGTGGAGCACTTTCTTCTTTGTGACTCAAGTAAAACAGCATCTCTCTCGAATTTATCCTTTTCTGTCCAGCTTGGGTTCAATGGGTTTTACTTATTCCAAGAACCGCCAAGTTGTATCCCCTCATTTCCGTTGCCATTTGACTGGTCCTCTCGGTCTCCCACATTGTCCAGTCATTCCATGTATCTATATTAATTGTTGCTTTAGTTGTTAGAATGGGTATCACTCTCGTGACTTCCAAGGAATATAGGCTTTCACTATGAAACTACATAATTCTTCTGAAAGTAGACTTTTGAAGTGTCAGGGTAGAGTTTAATTGGTTTTGTTTGTTAATTCTGGTTAGTTTTTTAGCAAGGATGTTTTCCATGGGATGAGTTTGCTGACCCTATGTTCAACCCTCCTCCTTCACGCAGGGTTTGCACCGGCAGTAACCCGATAAGAGCTAGACCTCGAGTGCGCTATCACAGTGAATCTGACAGTACCTAAGTAAATAAATACATTCAAATAGAGTTTAGCATACTTAATATCGACATACAGTTCAAATAAGTGATACAATCAAAAAAATAATTCGTTGATTACTTATGAGAAGCACCAAAAATAAATATCTGGAAATTAAAATGAACACACCTTGCGAAAGTAATTCAAAGTATCCGGACTACGTTCACACATTTCTTGAATTAAACAAATGGTAGCCAATAAGACTCCATGATTTTTTTCGGAAAGAAGAGAACGTGTACATGGTATAAACATTTCCATGAGATCAGGTACCTTTCGGATTATTTGAAAGGCACATAATGCCGCCTGTTGAAATAAAATTGTAAGCATTCTATGAAAAAAGGGTAAATTATAAAATTCCCACCCATAATCCCCTCATTGTATTAACAACAACCTTCAGTCAGTCAGCTGCAACGTAGGACCAGGCTAATATATACAACTTCAAGTCGGCCGACAAATAATATAAACATTATGTATGTGGAATATATTTTTAATTATGCACACTACAGCCTATTTAAAAAAATCTGTAAATAAAACACGTAATCGACACTAAACTCTCATTTAACTGAAAGACAAAATCTATAGGGCAACCAACTAGGTGAAACCCTAATAGATATACTCCCGACCATACAAAACACTAGATCCCGAAACAATACCTTCGAGAGGAAAATCAATTAGCGTCTAGATCCATTAACTAGGCTCTTGATGTCAGCTCGAGAAAACTATGTTCAAATTATCTGAGTTCAATGAGATTATAGATCCTCAATTTTTCTCATAGTTACAATCAAATTCATTAAGTGGATTAGTTCGAGATAATTTATGGACAACATATGAGCGACGCTAAAGTGACCTTGATAAAAATTCACTTGTAACCCTGTGTCCAAAGAGGGTTATAAATTAATATGACGAATTACAATTTGGAGTTAGAAGTTAAGGTTAGGAGTTTATAGTTTTCATCACGAACTAACATCAGTTATAATGTCAAAATGCAAGTTAACCCTTTTGATAAATGAATCTCGCACCAAAATCTAAGACGTGCTACTTTTTTATTTCACTGGTCCGTTCATAAATTATAGTCTTGCCATTTTTGTCCAACAAGATAAGAGAAAATATATCTCGAATATCAGTCCACGACAGTAATCTAGTCCTACTTACAGATTTTTAGTACAATTATTCTGAATCGCAGTAAACGGTAGTTTACCAATGTGATAGTGCTATGAATACAACATATAAAACTTACGTTCTCTTACTATTGGACACAATAATGGTAGTAATAATAACTATGACAACAGTAATAGAGAAGCCACTACTTTTACTGATATATATATTCTAGTTCGGAAAAAATCAAAATACTCAGAGCAATATGTTTATAAGATTGAAAAAATAACTACATATTTTTGCCGTAAATATATTGAATACTCATGTGACTTTCGGTAGGTCCTAGCACCAGCTAAAAGTATCACTTATAAACTTAAAAAAGTGATCAATCTTTTCAAGACCACTAAGAGTCGGTTAGTCATACCACTGTCTAACAGTCAGATTAAAATACTATCATTGAGAAGTGCACTACGAGATGTGGTTGAATTTACAGCATTTAGAAAAGATCACTTTATTTCAGTTAGCCAATAATCAATTTTCTAAAGTACAAGACAATAAACAACCAACTAGTTTATTAATCTCTTATTGAAGAATTCATACACTAATTAGTCACTACAGTGCTATTAGTCATCTTTATACATGTTGCCACGTCGAATAATTACTTGAAACAAATTTGTGTACTCGTAATTGTCTTTCTGATCATCACTCTAGTGAGGATAAAATGCTTTCATTAAGAACTCATGATTGAAACTATTTGACATTGGTAAGTCAGTTCGAGTCCAGTCATTTAATCACACGAAGATATCTAAGTATTAAGTAAACCACATTGTCTTTAAGGTGGAACTGAAAAAAAGTTACTCACTGATGAATTACATTCATTCTTCTTGATTATTAGTAGTCATTCAAGTTAAGAAACTTAAACTTCCTTAATTAAGCACATGCAACCTATAACTCATAAAAAACTCAGTCGAATTGTCGGTTCCATTCTATTGTTTCCCTGTTGTTGACTTTTCCTCGTGTGTGAAGTCTAGCAACTTGTGTTGTTAAACAATTTCATCAAGTTCAGCGTTGTTCACATCTGGCCGACTGTTTGACTTAGCCGATGTTCAGTGAGTTCTCAACCCAGTTAAGTGGATGATAATGCTTACGGAAATAACCTTGGGAAAACTTAAATCGTAATGTTTTCCCAACACAAATAGCAGAATATTGTAAGAACATCCATAAATATCATTCACCTTCAAATAGAACTAGCGATAAATAATAAATGCGATACCATATTTAAAAATACGTTTTCGCGAACTTTAGTTCATGACTACTGAAATATAAAAATTGGACAACAATAAATACTATCAATGCTTATAATCCCAAATATGAATATAAACTTGCCTTCTTTTTTATGTAAGCATTTGATGATCGTATTAGTCGCTCAACTTCACCGGCTAGATCTCTGCTCATTTCAGCAGAGCATATACTTCCCAAAGTGCATAGAGCCAAACTAACAACATATGGAGTAGGATGATTTAAATCACTAATAATGTAAAAAAAATTATGAGTATGCATCACAAAAATTACGAAAAGCCATTAAACAATGACAGGAAACAATAAGATTTCTTCAATGACAGTTAGAGTGCAGAAGGCAAAATAAAACCAGTTTGATTTACTTATTTGAACACAAATATCGGTACAGCTGGGCAACAAAATATGCGCTAAACAATAGTGAAATGGAATTGTCAAGAGTTAGGTGAGGAAGAGGAAGTACAATCAAAAATAAACAAATGATTAGGGATAATAATATTAATAATAATAATAATGAGTCGGTCAGTCAGCTACAACGTAGGATCAGGCACATATATGCATCGGTCCAAGTTGCCACACCTCATTAACACGAGATGGACACCGGATTCATAAAAGTAGTTAATTCAGAGGTGGTAATATATAAAAGAAAGATTGCAATAAGGATATATTACAGGAAGAAAGAATTAGTTCGTAGAAAGATATGAGACGATTTTAATCTCACGGTTGAAGGGAAGACAAAGAGTGTATACACCGACGACATTGTGATCGATTCTGAGCCATGTCACCAAGAGTCTCCAACCATTGGTTATGATAGTCACGCAGACCCCAACCAAGTAGTCTGCATCTACCAACATGGCTCAGACTAGAAGTTAGTGACTTCAAGCATTGATGCGACGTTTTGGTTTGGCCGCCCCTAACTTTCTCCCAACCATCTCCAACACCGGTTAGCATTGCACGTCGTGGTAGTCGGTGTTCAGGCATACGTAACACGTGGACCGGCCATCTCAGTCGATGAAGATTCATAACCTCATCATCCCTAATACCCTGCGTCTAACCTCACTATTACTTACCCGGTGATCCCACCAGATTCCAGAAATATTTCTAAGGTATCTGTGGTCAAATTCTAGTAGCTTACGAGTATCTTCTACTCTTAATGGCCATGTTTCGCTGCCGTAAATTAAAACAGAACGAACTGTTGCGCAGTATACTCGTCCTTTTATTGATAGACGGATATCTCGCCTTCGCCAAAGGTGACGTAAGTTGGCAAAAGCCAAACGAGCTTTTCGAATCCGTGCTGAGATTTCGTCCGATACCAGCCCATTAGGGTTGATCAGACTTCCAAGATAAGTGAAGTTGTCAACGCGTTCGACTACTTCACTCTCTATCCTTAGTTCAGGTGTTAACGCAGACCAGTCCTGAAGCAACAACTTGCATTTAGAGGGAGAGAAGCGCATTCCAAACATTCTGGCATTGTTGCTTAGTGCTACCAGAAGACTCTGCACTTCATCAGCGTCTTCATCAAACAGGACTATGTCATCTGCGTATTGTAAGTCGATAAGCGGACCTCCTGGAAGGAGATCAATACCCGAGAATTCAGTAGACGAGAATGTTATTTCCATCAGTAGGTCTATGATAAAGCTAAACAAAAATGGAGAAAGTGGACAGCCTTGACGGACACCACTTGAGGTTGCATAATCAGATCACAGTTCGCCATAAGCTCTCACTCGACTGGTAGTGTTCGAGTAAAGAGCCTTTACAAGGTTTATGTACTTCTGAGGTACACCTTTCGATGACAGACACTGCCACAGAACCTCTCGGTCTACAGAGTCAAATGCTGCTTTTAGGTCAAGAAAGACCACCATTGTCGGACGCCAGTAGGTATGCCTATGTTCTAGAACCTGACGAATGGTGAACATGTGGTCGATGCAGCCACAACCAGGTCTGAAGCCAGCTTGATTCTCTTGTGTTTGCAGTTCACGAGTCTTAGTTAAGTGTCTGATAATTATCGAGGCTAGTATTTTAGATACTATATTAGTTAAACTAATCCCTCTATGGTTGTCACAGGATGATTTTAACCCTCTCTTATATATTAGGACGATCAGTGATTGTGACAAGTCAGATGGGATAACGTCTAACTCCCAGATTCCAGCTAAAATATTAGTCAACCTAATCGCTAAAATTGGACCACCATCCTTAAAGACCTCTGGAGCCAATCCATTTGGACCAGCTGCCCTTCCTCGTTTCAGATTAACTATAGCCTTTTGAACTTCAGCTAGAGTTGGGGGACCTACTTCAATGTTCCATTCACACTGTCTGGGAATGGAGGGTAGTTGTTGAGTAGCTGAAGGCCAGCTGAACTGTACTCTAAAATGTTCCGCCCATCGTTCTAAACGTCTGGACTGGGACCAGATGAAAGTGACATCTTTTTCCGAAATAGTCTGACTTGCACTTGACTTATTAATTCCAGTTTCTTTTATTAATCTGTAGAGCTGTCTTGTGTTCCCTATAGTCGCCGCCTTTTCCATCTCTTTTGCTTTCGTTGCCCAACACTACTCACGGTCGTTTCTTAGACTTTTGCATAACTTAGATCTCATTTCTTTACGCTCTTCATTGTGTTCAGAACCTGATGGGATGACTTTGCGAGAATCCATCAGTGTAATAGACCTTGAAGAAATCCATTGGTTCTTTGTAACCCTGTGGTTTAAATCACTGATAGATGTCACTGCTGTTTGTATATCTTCCCAAGCAACATCTGGGTCAGCCTCGTTTTCAGAACTATCTAAGTGTGACCTCAGTTGTTCCTGGAACCTACTTTTGGTTTTCTCGCTACTCAATTCAGTTCTAATGGGTCTTTTTAGTGTGGCTTTTTTGCGTCCAGTGAGGCGCAAACAGATGCGTACTCGTATTAAGGCATGGTCGGAGTCCAAGCAGGTACACCAGAATGAGCGACAATCTCCTACCGACCCTCTCGAACGATGACTGATGTCAATATGGTCTATTTGAGTCCACCACTGATTTGGTGTAGGGGGTCGCAACAACGGTCGGGAACAATAATGAGTGGCCGAGAATAGTATATAATAGAATATATAGTTCAGTTAAAAATACAACCAGCAACACATCTCTCAGTTAAGCCACGTCCTCTCAATTTTCTATATGAAGAATGTAAAAGAAAGCTACTGCAGGATCTTCATTGGCTTCTGTTTCCACTCACATTTGGTAATGTCTCAAGCCACTAAGTTGTATAATCCTTAGAATCCTAACCAGGGAGCAGTGAGGAACTGAAATGTCCCAGTCTCGTACGGTTTTCATTCATACTATGACATTGTGTTGTGAAATGACCACTTCTCCCAATGTTGTACCTCGCCCAGAGTCCGAAAATAAAGCACAACATGAAAATCGCTCAGATGATCTTCGCAACACATGTCCAAACCACCGAGGTCAGTGTTTCAAGATGGTGACACTAAATTGTCATCACTGATCCCGGATACACATTGTCGAACCTCAGCATTGCTAACACGGTGTTGCCATCGAATGTCACCACTCCTTCGAAGACAGAGAGTCACCGGACATCTTCAGCTAGGAAAGGTCAGGTTTCACAATCACGGGGCAGGATCGCTCTCCTCGACGCGTTGTATACCAGATATTTCAGTCACACTAACATCATGAAGGCGCCAAAGATGAATCAGCTTGGCATAATCCACTCTGAATTTCACTATAAGTAGGTTGATCTCATCGATCACGCCATCATCAACACACGCACAGCTATCCATATACACGAACCTTTAGACTAGTTATTACGGTTCGCAAAGAAATGCGAGTGACAGCACAGATAGTAAAAGTACTCAGCATTTAGATGTAGAGTAGCTCCCGTACTTACGGACACGGATTACCGATCGAGGAGAAAGGACCTGGATAGTTTTTATATCATCCTACGGTAAGCCGATGTCATCTGCACACTGAAGATCGAAAAGTTAACATCTAAGTGGCACATCCGCACCAACATCATTACTACCATCAAGTACTTCGTTTAGAGTTAGTTCCAGAATGTCATCGTCGACAGAGTTGAAGATTTACTAGAATGGGCCATCTTGTATAACCCGATTACTGAATATGAATAATGGAGATAGGTGATATGTCCTCATTTTGCCTGAGCTGTTTGCATACAGAGCTTTCAAGCTGGTAATAAGCGTATCGGATACACCTTTCCTCAACAGAAAATCCCAGTGTACAGTCCCGTCCAACGAATCATAGCCGACCCTGATATTGAGAAACGCAAGGATTGTTGGCTTGTGACGACGACCTAACATTTGTTAGTGTAAAAATATGATTAATAACATCCACAACCAGAACGAAAGCCAGCCTGCTGCGCACGACTCAGACTTCCATTGGGTTTTGAACATTAGTTTGGACGCCATTGAAAGTAAACTTATCCCTGAACAATTGTCCCATAGAAGACAGGAGTAACGTTTGTTTCATTTTGGGATGTTAGAGCACTGTTTTCTAAACCCTTGCGAACTCAGTCAGTTCGGTGATCAGATGTTAGCCACCATCCTTAAACGGAGTTAATAGTAAGTCGTCTGAGTCTGGTGTTTACGGTGTTTCAGACGTTGGAGGTGCTTGCTAAACTTGTCTGTAGGTGGATTACTTTTCATCGGCTATGGATAATAGGACAGTCCGGTCGATAGTCAACCGTCAAATTAACTGAACTGTTCTTCGAAGAACTAGACCGATTGCTTCAAAGACGATGGAGAGAAATTGAAATAACGTATGTTCACCGCTATTTACATTTATAGAAATTACAGTAATCGGTCTTTTTAAAAAGAAATGTTTCAAGAAGGGTTATTTAACATTTTTTACTTTGTTATCCTTTACTGAAGTTGGAAAGTAAACTCTATAATGCAGTCACACAGATATTCTCTAATGTTTTTTTATTAAAATGATTTTTGCAGTGAGAAAACTGAAATATTCATTTTACGTCGTACATTGTTTTACGCAGGCATAAAGAAATATTTAAATTCACCGCGGACAAGTCACTTGCACCCCACTAACGTAAAACAAAATAGTGGCAAATTTTTTACTTGAAAACAATAGTTTTAAAATGATTACGGATAAATTTATTGCTCCTGTTTTGTTCAAATTCACCGATGAAGGTGAATGAATGAAGCTGAAATCTGATGAACTGCCTCAATTGACCCAAACAAAATAATGGGCACTAACAATATACTGAAGCAGTAGTAAAAGAATACAATACACTTTTCTACTTTTATTAGTTTCCAATAACTCAACAAAAAAAAGAATATTCTGGAAAGAAAAGCAATGATCGAAAAGTAACGTGTTTAAGATTAGTATGAAAAGGTAAAAGTCCAATACATGACAGATATTGTGGGGCTAGTTGTCAACTAATATTGGTAATTTTGATCCCAGAAAATACTTCTCCTTTCCATTTGATCCAGAAGTTGATGGCCTACGTTGTGGCTGACTGACTGACTGATGGCCGTATTTAAGACCCAATGGATTTTTAGCTATGTATCTCATCACACTCAAACCATCAACAATGAAGGTTGTTTTTAGTATTGATCTCTAGGAGTATTAAAATTTTAAATAGATTTCCGCATCATATTGCGTTTCTGGCATTTTGAACTTTTCCTGAACTCTTAACATTGACACACTAAACGGAATGTTATGGAAAATCTGACGGTCTCCTTATCCATAAAAACGAATACTGTAAAGAACTACGATACACCTTACGGAATCAGTGAGTTGATGTGGAATTCAAAAATGCAGTAAATATTGACAGCGTATAGTTGGTTTAGAAAACAAGTTAAATTTTAACAATTTGTAATTAACTTCTTTAGATGTACTTAATCCAAATATAAGACATTTAAAGTAACCGTTGGATCATGGCTCGTTAGCTTCAACGATAACGACATTCTAAGTAAAGAAATTATTTTATGATAAAACAATGGGAATTCAGTCATTACAAGATAAGGTTTGACATACTACTATTCACTTTTAAAACCAATTTTTGGCTTAATTATTATAGAAAAGTATTAGAAAAACTCACTTTTTTAAGGAATTTGTAACTAGAAGGTGTACATCAGTTCGTTCATCAAGTAGAAGCATTGCGCCCAAATAACCAACTCTTTTATCGGTGAAACGTGGAGAAGCAACCAGTTTTAAGCATTCGAGCTATAAACAAAATGGTAACAAATGTAAATCAGTAATTTTAAATCTCTATGCAATAGCAAGAGAGTTAGGATAAGCCATTCGATAACCACGCATGCATTCATGAACTGGTCTTAACTACAATAATATATCAAAGCTACAATACCAATCAATTGACAAAAAACAGATGGAGGATTTGAACAGAAAAAGTTACATAAGGAACCACGTTTATCATTCATGCCAAATGTCTACAATTGAGGATACTGAGTGAGAATTACTTGCAAAATAAGACTGGTGAAAATTCCGGCTGACTAGTGTAGTCAGAGCACAAAATTTGTTAACACATTCAAAGCGTATATAAACTACCAAACACATCATATATCTTCAAATCACGTGGTTAACACTTAAAATTTTTTAGACCTAAATGAAGGGTAATTGGTGAGAATTTTCAAAGGGATCGCGGAAAAATATATAAACGATCGGCAGCACATAAAGAAAACAGAAAGTTTAATCTTTATTTGGCAAACAACCCATCTGTTTTTAACATAGAACCCGGCACATATGTACATCGGTTTAAGTTGCGACATCGTATGAGAACAGTGAGATGCCAATTTAGTTTAGGTAGTAACACTTAAAGATAGAAGAAAACATTGGGCTCCAAAAGATACGATTCAGGAAGAAAATATAGATTTGTGAAATGAAAAGATTTTTAAGATAATTAAGAAGCTTGGGATTTAAGGAATCAAAAAGAGTGAATGCACCAGTGTCGTTGCAAACGATTCTGAACCAAGTCATCCAAAATACCTAACCAGTAGTTATGATAATCACGTGGACCCTAAGCAGAAAACCAGTACTTACCCATATGAGACAGTCCAACAGTCCGCGACTTCGTGGACAGATCCTGGGTCATTTTCGGCTGCCTCTAGCTTTCTTCCAACCTACTCCTTCGCTAATTATCACTGAGCATTGAGGTGGGCGACGGTTTGATATTGTAATGCATGTCTAAGCCATCCCAGACAATGAAGACTCACTATATCATCAATTAGCACCTGTGGGTAAGGTATATGCTTTGAATTTTCCAAGTGCCAAGTACTTTTACAAAAATGATAGGACGCTGAACCTGCATTCACTCTTAGTAGTGAGCAGATAGATGTAGTTGAGTTCGTGTATCAGGGTAGCTGTTTAAGTGCTGGTGGTGGTATGAATGATGAGATCAATCCACGTACGGTGAGAGCCAGAGTGGTTTATGCCAACCTGGGTCATTTTTGGTGCCTTCATGACGTTAGTCTGGCTGTAAAAGGTCGGATTTGTGTGTCGATGAGAGTATTTCTGTTGTGGTTGTGAAACCTGACCTCTCCGAGTTGAGGATGTTAGACGACCCTCTTTACTTGATCATCGTTATCCACAAAGAATATCTGACATCCAGTGGCAACACCATGTCAGTAATGCGTAGGTTCGGCTACATGTGTCCAGGAATAGGGACGATACTTCAGTTGGTGTCACCATCTTGAAACATCAATCTCGATGACTTGGACATGTTCTACGAATGCCGTCTCAGTGAAGTCTACATCGTGTATTATTTGTCGACGCTGGGACCAGTTTTGTGGTCAGTGGACAACATGGTGTCGTGGTATGAAAGGAAGCTGTACGTTTCACATTAACAAAGCACAACAGAGCGAATTGTTGCACAGTATACTCGTCCTTTGGTTGATAGATGAACAATTTCGACTACGTTACATAAGATGAATGTTGACAAAAATCAACCCAATAGTCTAAGTCCAGGTCAAGGCTGGCTAAACTTTGGCGGGTGATAGTGATAATACCAGGATTGTTAAGTCGAAGTAAGGAGATCAGAGTTCGAAATTGCGACAAACTTTTACCAGCCAGCGTTATTATTACCTAACATTTTAGACCAGAACCGAAGAGGACTGAACGAGGAGAATCAACATAAATCCATGAGGAATATGTACTGACCAAGTTAATGGGAACAAAGAAAAGAGAATAGAGTTTTAAGCTTAGTGAGTAGTCCTAGTTGAGGGAAGTTTTAGGCATTAATAGAATGATATTATCTTCACAAAAAAAAACTGTATCCTGTTTGTATTCCAAACTTGCATTACCTTTTATTCGCAAGTTGTTTATCACTGGACTGTCAGTTGCTGAGACAATGAGAACAGATCCACATATTAATCAAGTGAAATCGGATAGGGTATATATATATATATGCGAAATCAACCATTAAACTTAAGTTATAAATAACAGAAACACAATACGGTTCATGAAAATCATTTAATATAACTCAATGTCTATATGCAGATTTATGTACTTAACTGAATAAGCTTTTGCGTGAGGACCGATGATAGTAGTCAGCTGCCCGAACCGAAGTAGGTTGGAACGGAGTTTGAACATACAACCTGGCTAAAACACGAACGTGTCGGATATGATACTAACACCACATGGTATATATCACTTATTCTGCATTAAACTTTTGACTTTACATATCTATTTTCAAGATTTCAAAGCACAAGCACTAGTCAACTAAGTGCTAATGCTTACCTACGCCTGTTACTCCTCATGTAAAAGCATAGGCAGCCCAACAGCATTCTCCACCCAACCCTGTCCTGTATAATCCTTTCCAGCTCTTTCCAGTTGTTATTCATCCTTTCCATATTTGCTTCTATTTCCCGACGTGACGTGTTCTTTGGCCTCCCTCTTTTCCGCTTCCCTTCAGTATTCCAAGTTGGCGCTTGCCACGTGATACAGTTGGGTGATTTCCGTAATCTACGTCCTATCCACTTCCAAGTCTTTTCCTAATTTCCCCCTCAGCTGGAAGCTAGTTTTTCCTCTCACACAGAATGATGTTGCAAATAGTATCCGACCAATGGATATTGAGTATCTTGCGTAGACAACCATTTATAAATATTTGTACCTTCTTGTTGATGGTTGTAGTAGTTCGTCAAGCTTCAGCTTCATACAGTAGGACTATAAGTGAAAGTTTCCACCTCTTTTCGAGTTTTTCCATCAAGTGTGATCGCCCACCAGCACTCTCCATCCAACTCTGTCCTCGGTAATCCCTTCCAGTTGATATTCATTCTCTTCATATCTGCTTCCAAATCTGGACACTGTGTTCTTTGGTCTTCCTCCTTTCTGTTTCTCTTCAGGATTCCAAGTTAGGGACTACCGCGTGATGCAATTTGGTGATTTCCGTAATGTGTGTCCTATCCACTTCCAACGTCTTTTTCTTATTCCTTCCTCAGCTGGAAGCTGATCTATTCTCTCCCACAGTAGGCAGTTGCTGATGGCTTCCAGCCAATGAACATCGAGTATCTTCCGAAGAAAATTGTTTATAAATACTAGTACCTCTTTGATGATAGTTGTTATAGTTCTCCACTTTTCAGCTTCTTACAGTAGGACTGTCTTGATGTTCGTACTGAAGATTGTGACTTTGATATTTGTTGACAGTCGTTTTGCGTTCCATATGTTCTTCAATTGTGGGAATACGGCCTTTGCTTTGCCGATCCTTGCCATCCTGCATCAGACCCTCCTTGTTCCTCGACTATGCTTCCCAGGTACGTGAAGGATTCCACATCTCCCCGAGTTTATCCATCAAGTGTGATTGGGTTGGTGTTCTCTGTGTTGTATTTGAGAATCTTGCTTTTTCTTTTGTGTATCTTGAAACCTACTGATGCAGAGGCTGCTGCTACACTAGTTATCTTCATTTGCATTTGTTCGTGTGTATGGGACAGAATAGCTAGGTCATCTGCGAAGTCAAAATCGTCTAATTGATTCTGATTTGTCCATTGTATTCCATGCTTTCCCTTAGATGTCGAGGTCTTCACATTTAAAATTATAGTTACTCCATCCGTTCATTGGTTCTCCATAAATAAAATAAACTAGATGTTCAGTGAGTTATTACCAACTGTGAGTGATAAATGGATAGTGCTCGCAGACTTACTTGCGTAAATGTAGATGAATAAAACCCGTCACATGTAGCTAATAAAATAAAGTAACTAAAATATTAAATGTAAATTTTAAGAGATAACCAGAAAAGCATCAAATGAATAAGTTGAAAAATTTACCTGACCGAAATGTGCTGGGTAACCCAACATGTGAATGTATAATAATTTGGCCACATTACGACATCTGTAAGTGTTATTTTCTTCCCGAAAACTATCTCTAATTAAAGCACACTCCCTGTTTACGATTGCCCGTTCTTCAGCAGCAGTTCGAGCAGATCTAATGTCTCTCACCAACTCTCGCAACCGCTTTGGAGCCGGCATCTGAAATAAAAAAGTTACGTGACCAACTGTAGACCACTAGTGCAAAAAGCGTTGAATCAACGATATTTTAAATAGTACAGCAAAAGAGCTGGTGCAGTAAAGCAATTATTCATGCTACTTGACTTGAGAGTATTACCAAGAGGGAAAACAAGGGTCGGAAGACTTGTAATATTAAAAAATAAGAATGGGTAAGAAATGTGGTAAAAGGCGTATAGCATTTGGAAGTTAGTCACAAACAATGTGGGATCAGTAAATATGTGGATATGACTTAAACTGGTAAATGAACAAGGGCTGTACAATAATCTCAAAATATGAAACAGTACATGTATGTGTCAGCGACATGTCAGTCAGCTACAACGTGGGATCAAGCACATATATGCAGCGACATGAATTGTCACTTATTCTGTTTCTATAGCTACACTCATCTGAGTAGGAAATAAATTACCGTAAAAATGAAGCGATAAGGTTTTATTCCCCACGGAAACGATAACTGGATAAAGCAAAGTAAACAAAAAAACGCTGAAAAACAAAATACGGAAACCACCATTTAGCTGTATATGTTATCAAATGCCCCTTTAAAATCATTAATATGATCTATATGGAACGGCGGCTTACTGCTTAAGGTGTCCGACTTTAATAAGTTTTTAGTTCTAACCCTGCTTCATGTACTTCAGTTTTGGCTTTTATTTTTAATTAACTTGGAACCAGACCACATAAAACCTAAAGTTGGAGAGATATGCGAGTTACAATATAGCGTCTAATAACAACATTCATTATTCTATGCTTAGTAAATGCCAGTACTTCTTATTTTTAAGTGGCATTCGTCAGACCAAACAAGCCAGTGAATAATGATATTCTGCCTATGGTGCAAACTCTAAAGTTCAGTTCCACTGAGAAACAACAGACTAAGCTCATAACTCGTGCATATCTCAAAACTGTTGAAGTGAATACAATTTACTAAAATGGTCTATGTTCCTTCTCTTGATACAATCACACACAAAAATAAAGAGAGGTTATATTCACTGAAACAAGATTGTCGCGTACTACTTCCACTAAAACGTCTGTGTGATTAGAGCAAAACATGTGTTCTTCGAATGGCTTTGATTTAAAATGAGTTTTAAACTACCACAATGGGTCTTATTGATAAGTGGAGGAACGTAAATTACTCTGATACAGGTACTGAATACCGACTGTTATCAAGTCTTTTCTGTACCAGCTAAAACTTAGTTTTTTTAGTTGGTAAGCCATATGAATCAAATAAGACTCCGTACAAGAAAGAAACCAAAGACAAATGATTTGTTTGACACAAAAATATTCCCAACAAATTGGAACGTCTCCAAACTCCTAACTCTAACGAAATGTTTGCTGACTTATGGACCTTTTATTTCCTTCCGTTTTGATATCATAAAACGTAAAATATCAAGTTCGCAGCTCCAACCTACTTTTTGCGTGTAAGATTTGGAGTTGATCAGCAGCTTAGGGGTCAGTCTGTGTCAGTTTTTCAATTGTTCTACGATTAAATACTTTCGTTGCTGCTAACGTATCGAAATACGGTGCTGGAAAGATTATTCCATATAATTATCCTGAGGTTATTTGTCATGCATCGAAGACACCCAAGAAGTAAGTAAAACTGAGTAAAGGTTCCCCTCAGAGTTTTGTGGATAAAGTTTTACAAAATGCTATGCGACCGAATTTTTACTTCATCCACTGACCTTAAAACACCTGTCGATGTTTGGATGTAGAGAACAATCTCAGAATTTCCTAAATAGCCGTCTCAAAAGATAGGTAGTTACTTCAATGTTTAAGATCTTTAACGGTATGAATCTACAAACACCTACTGCTTCAGTTACTGTATACACGTCAGTGTTAGTTTCGTGCTATCCCTCTAACTCTTTATTCCGAAAAAATCGTGCAGGAGCAACACAAACTCAGGCTACTCAATGAACAAGTTTTATCTAGTGAAAGGCATAACCAGATCTCGTAAACGATATCAGGATGGAGGAACACGGAAGTACATAAGACCGAAACCACGACAAAATGGGAATTAGTTACTATTCCTTCAGTACAATCTATTTACTCCGTACAGTGTGAATTAGTGTTGAGATGACACCAATGTTCTACAACGACGTTCCAATACCACGCAAATAGCTTGAAATAACTATATTTAAGAGAAGATATTTAACCACTGGGCAAAGATAATACTTAATCTCCCCAAGTGGCTCCACAACGACAATCGGAGAACATTACGGCGAACAAAGGTCCAAAGAACAACATCTTCCTATCTAGGCTGCTACAAAACTTCCAATGGGTGAATATCATTTTGAATGAGGTCACAGACGAACTAGCATACTTTGAAAGCAAATTCAGAAAATCATCAATCATACAAGCTCAGAGAACTCCGTTCACTGAAACACACTTAGACCATAAAAACGTTACTTTACTACGATTTAATTATAATAAAAAAACTCGAAACTCCACCTAACTGATACAAATCACCAAGAAAAAGTTAGATGACAATCCGCCCAAACGTCAAGTAGTGACCACAGCGGCAAGCCAATAAACACCAACAATTCAAAGCTCAATATTTCACCCCATTCGAAAACCTAGTCTACAAGCTCTTGATTCCAGTTTTCACATTGTTTTGATCTTACGGTAGCGTTGTTGCTAATTGCTTTCAACTGATTCCTCTGTTAAATAATAGTTTGCTGAGTTTTCAGATGAAATTCTTTCTTGTCATTAACGTTTCACTTTTGAATAAACTGGTTTTTGAAGTACTCGTGTAAAGAAATGTTATGTGCTACAGTTTCGCTGTGCATTGTATACCTATGGAAACCTCTACTACTATATGCTAAATTTCTGTGCGTCAGATAATTATTAACCCATTAGCTTTCACACTCCTAAGTGTTATAATACATTACCGAAATCTCGGAAACATTCAATGAAAGCAGATTAGTCACTCAACTTCACTAATCTCAGTGAATTCGATGGCTATTTTGGGGTTGAGGAATCTTGGACCTAAGAGATGAAATAGGGTTGTTGAAACTGGCAGCTATCACGTTGCTGATTAGGTGACTGATAGTGTGCAGTATGAAAACTGTGGAAAAGGATTCAGTGGAATGGAGAGAGAACAAGGGTGAATTTCGATGGTTTGGTAGGTTGGGAAGAAATGCGTACGAGAACCATATGTATGAAGTAGATTATGTAGATCATATAGATGTAAGACTTCAAACTTTCATCTCAGATCATTCGATCAGCGGAAATGGGTAAGTACCAGCGCTAACCTAGCTGCATATTTTATGAAATTATACTTAACACAACTTTTAGAGATGAAGTCCCTATTCAGATGTTCTCTCCGAAATTCTAGAATCATGTTTAAAATTTAATCAATAAAAGTGCTATTTACCGTTAGCCCATTGTAATCCCAATCAACCGTTATTCATTTAGGTTTCCATATGAAGAAAAATGGGCCTGTATCTACTTCTAATTCATATGCACAGATGTCGGGGATAACCTTATTCATTGTTTTGGCATGATGATGACCAAACAGTGAAGGGTGATCTAATCATAATTTTCAGCCTACAGAATAGTCTAGGTCATACGTAGCTTATTTCCACCTGATAGCAGTGGTGGGAATATACAAAACTTCAAGTAATCTCAAAGCTAGGAGCAATCACTCAGGAGTGATCTAACCATTATGTACACAGAGTTGTGGATTATACTCTTTCATCTGAAACGGTATTTCGTGACAAACACTGAGTGACTCTGCCCAAGTCAGAAGCCTTCTAATACTCCATGGCGCACATTGACTAACAGGGGAATCAGACACCGAACTAGTGGTTTTTAACCGATGCTCTAAAGTCGACAATAATAGGAGCGTTAACAAAGTAACAACTCAGCTAGTGTTAAGAAAGTTATTTAGACTGAGATCCAGCGAGTCAATGAGCACGACGATACAATATCCTACGATAATGAGCAGCTGAACAGACCCTCTTTCATCAACTAAGCAGTCCATGTCAAAATTTTTTCACTTCAAGTAGTTATCAAAGCAATAGAAAGAGTAGTTTTCTTCCCAATTTTCAAGAGAAGGAACAGAAAAGACTAAGGCTTGTCACTGTTTATTATGTTGTTAAAAGTGTGCAAAAAGTTGGTGAGCGACCAGATGGAGAATCTTATCAAAAAACAGCGTCTTAAATGAAATGCAACGTGGCTTTAAGAAATGCATATTCTGAGTCTCGTCATCTGGAAACATATCTCATATGTATTTTTATTTTCTGCCTTCCATGTTAGCAACGAGAAAAGCAAATAAAAATGTGTTTATTAGAATTTCGCCTATGTCCGTGTTGGCAAAGGATGGTCACAATTCACGTTGCACCAGGTTTTCCAAATCAGCAAATTGCAGTATTCCGTACGGAACTATCCGTAACAACAAGCAATTTATTTTTAAATATGTTTGCTCGAGTGTTCCAAAGAAACTAAGTAGTAGTCCTGGCTCAAAAGTGTAACTGATAGACGAATCCATCAAATACATTTGTAGTGGCATTGGGCTTGAACCACACAATCCTCAAAACTGGACACGAAACAGCGGGGAAAACAGATATTCAATATTTAAAACGGAGAAAAACCTAACGATGGAGAAGGTGGGAACCGTGCGTTGAATTGATTAGAATTGATCGGATGGCATGGCTTGGCCTTGCGGGCGTGGTCTTACTTATGTAACATTATTTTTATCCATACTAAATATATAGTTCTATCTCCAGTTTAAATGTGTTTTCCATCATGTATTGATGATTGTAACAACGCGATGAATCAGGGTAGACAATGATGTGACTTCCACTTAAGGTCTTATAGATTAGACAGTTAAATCATAACAAATCTACAATTTTAGGATTAGGTCTATTATTAGGGCAGTACTAATGTTGAAGTAGACCATAATTCTACAAATTCTTAGACATCCACCACTTTGACTTGGTTTGAACTTGACTCGTTTGAGCACCATTCATTTGCCGATTTCAGACTTTTTAAAGCGATACATAGTTTTACTGACTTATTTTATTTGTCCTTTAGTTACCGTTTGATGTGTGCTCTTGCCCTCTCCTGTTTTCCTATGATGGATTGTGTTAATTGTTCCACAATATTGTTCACTCATGTTCTAGGAAGAGATGAAGCTTTTTATGCTGAACACCGTACTGGTTTTGGATTTCGACCAAAACCAAGAGCGTGCTTAACGGCGTTGGAACGTTTGAAAGAAGTTTATCTGTGAGTAAATAAATCATACTCCGTGGTCTCGATTGAATAGGAAGAAATCACAATAACATACACCAAAGTGACCAGATATAGCTGACGTAAACCACATTCTCGTAATGAATGCTGTACCCAATTTTATAGGAAGTAGGTGCACTTTAATTTCATTAATTTTGCATGAGCGTATACGAAATTGGGCGTCATGAAGAAGTAGGCCGGAGGATAACTCATAAGTAACTTAGAAGTTCGCTTGTTACTGTTATAGTCTCGTATAAATACTTCGTGCACGTGCCTTCTTCCTTGCTTCTAAGGGCTTAGGACCGATCGTCTTCAGTGAAAAATGTCTGACATACAAAGAACAACTGGACTGTTAAGCGGTTTGTTCATCGGAGCACTTTTGATGCAGAATAATCCAGAAAACTATTACATTCATCCGATCTAAGCCGTTGGTAACTGTGGGGTAAGTGAGAAACCCAAATGGGCCAAGAATTTTCACGTCGACTTACAGTGTTTTGATATAATTTGAACGTTTGCATTGATCGCTGCCTGTGAGGACGACAGCTTGTATAGACCTGTTTGATGCTGTATGGGTCATAAAACACAAATCACTAAAACTGCCGCACACCGTAACAATGATGATATTAGATCTAGTCTATTGCTTATGTTTGACCAGAGGCTCATAGATGGGCACTTTTCAAGTAATCCTAGGCTTAATTGGAAGATATGCAATCCATGTAGTTGATAAATCGACTGAAGGAAGAAAAAATCTAGAAATGGAGACACGGATTAAGGATAATCAAGGGGACTGAAGATAATTCGGAAACCTGAGCCTTTGCTGGAGGCAAATCTTAAGACGTAACAAAGACTGATAAAAATAAATACCGGGAGGGGAAGCAGTTGACAGGCTGTGATAGTATATATATATAGCGGCTAAATATATGCATATTACAGACTTTCAATATGGAGACTTCATGACAAACAACTAGATGAGGCAGAGTGCATAATAGATGTTGAAACAATCCAGACTGTGATTTTCAATTATCAGTTGTGTGAGCAAATCTGTGTGAGAAAAACGTTAAAAAATGGTGTGTGTAATAATATTTATATGGCGTTCTTCTATGAAAGCTTTCTATATTAATGGTGTCCCAACTATCGATACAAATAAAGAGTAACCTTAAATAACAATGTACTTGTAGTGACCTACTTTTATCAAGAGAACGCGATTGGTGTAATGGAAACACTTATTGTTTTAACCAATTGTATCACGGGTTGTTTCACCGTACTCGTTTGTTTAACTGTACCAAAACATACATTCTTTTGTTGATTGTGACCTTGCACGAATTCGGTTACGCTCAGTAATCACGCTTGTACTTCTTTTTGGCACGTTCTCGGTATTCGTTCAGTACCACGAGATCGCCGACAAATACATTTCGACTACAGCCATCAACTGCCTTCTAATATTTGGCTTACGGGGGATCCTATCGGTTAACTAGGACGTAGTCTTCCTGTGGTGGGGATCATAGTCAACCGCGACTCGACGCTACACTACATACTCCATAGAATGAAATTTTTTGAAATTTGACGAGGAAGAACCTGCTGTGAGGGCAACTAGGGGAGAGAAACAACGCACCGAACTGTTTTTTGTGGTGGGTCATTCTATTTCCCAAGCAACACAAAAAAGGGAAATAAAGGCGAAGAAAGGGGAAATAAAGCGGACGAAAGCGTAAATAAAGGGGAAATATCGCTTTTTCCCCCTTACGTCGTGTATTTGGGGGAAATTTGTCGACAATTCTACGTAACGTACAGTTATTGAATGAACCGCATCCGGAACTGAAGTTTTCATAAACTTCGACAAATTAAGGCACCGCTTAATAAAAAAACAAAAGTATTGTCATAGAAACAATGTACAAAATACGGAACCAGGCATACGGTTGATACGCATATAGAGTGACTTCGTTTGTTGTTTAGCTGAAGTGTTCCGACATGCTTGGGAGCCATCACAAAAAACTTACGTGATACAGGTGAGTGACGTGCTCTCAGGATTTCAGGTTCATTGTGACTAATTACCCTCTCAGGCCAATAATATGACTTTTTTGATGTCAGTGAGAATTTTCGTAGACGTAGGGCTACTGTGAACTTGTCGCGTTCCCTTGGTTGTCACAGAACCACTTATAATAGGAGGTGGAATAAAATGAGAGCTGCTTTAATGAAAAAATATGACTTCCTTTCGTTCAGTGAGTTTGCTAATGAAAGCACTCTGAAAGGTAACTGAGTTCAACAGTGTTGTTTATTAAATTGGTAGAAGTAAAGACGGAAATCAGTTGTATTGACAGTACTTCAACTGTAACACCATGCACTAGCAACATCAACCAAAGACTTCCAGATATTAGTGGTATGTATATTAAATTCACACGCGAATATATATCTTATAGGATCTCCTGAAGTGGACTTGTGCTGTCATAAGTTCGTAAATC